ATATCAACGAACGTCAACAAAACTTCTGACTGCTAGTTCAATTACTCACTACCTACACATTACATTATTCTCCCGTCACGTTGTCACCCTCTTTTATATACCAGACTACCCTATATCTAGTAAATACTAGAGCATTCGCCAAGGTACGGAATAGTTCTAGAAACGTGGCGTCACACTAGTCATGTGACTCGCTGACGCAACAATACGAACTCGCGTCCCTTGTCTCTCGCTTATTCAAGTTATTAGGCTAAGCATTAGATAAGATGCGAAACTTTGAAGTCCGGAATAGACGACAAAATTTGCTATATAACTGCCAAGCATTCGTATTGGTGATAATATTTGAAATCAATATCATACTTCAATAAAAATTGGGATATCGACCAAAATGCATAACAAAATCAGAATTTCTCGACTAAGTAAAGTCTAGGTGTATATTACCAAATCTATAATTTTGACTTTGTTTCTTGTTGCTCGACACAATGGTGCTTGCTGAATAGACAGTCTGGCCTGTCAAAAGACTTCTAGTCTATAACTATAAGTGGGTTTGTTTTTATTTTGTAAGAAATGAGTGGTGAGGTTGTATTTATTACGTATAACAACCTCTTAAATTTATTGTTTTAAGCTGTTTTTAATTTTTTGTCACATAATCAATGCATAATTTTCGTATTTTGACTAATTAGCAGTTTTATAGTGCATACTTTCAAATTGTTTGCCGCATAAAAATCGGATCCGTGCCAGTACTATATTTCAATCATAGTCGGAAAAAGTGTAGGTATACTTAAATTTAACTACAGCTTGTAATTTGGGGAAAAAAGCAAGTTACTTCAAGGCTGGCCTAATGGTCGAAAGGTGTTTTGTAGTAGACCGAGTTAGATGGCTATGATATGCAGACATACCGTGTGTTTCCAACTTCCCTTACATGATATATAAAATAATTCATAATTCTGTTTATATTGAGTACTTTGTTCTTACATAGCACGTCAGTCAAGAAAGCCACTAAGTTTCTCTCGTCCTATTACTCATAGGACTAGGGTAGTCAAAACTGGCATCACGTGTACCTTCTGGTGGAGGAGATTGTTCTGTCTAATGTGGAACACGTTGTATAGAAAGTGACAGTGATATTTTCCATGGGCAAGTCGAGTGATGTTTCAGGGATATAAAATCCCTTATTTTGAAGTGAAAGTGGCCATCAGGCACATAGGTAATGCCAGCATCCTGAGAAGAATTGGAACAAACATTATGAATAGCTTCAATAACTTAAACAACTTGTCTTGACATGGCTTAGTTTAACTAGAACTTTAGCGACACTTTTCAAAACCGATATACGTCTAAATTAATGTTATATTGCGTATTTGTTGAGATAGCGTACAAATGACAATCTGTTAAATCATTTCCACATTGACAATAATTATTTTATTTCGCAGCATCCATAGAAGGAAATCGATACACTCCAGGCTGCTTGTTGGCTGGCTTGGGATTGACAGTAGTACGCCTAACTTCTCGGTCTAATCAATAAGAAATTGTGGGTTGTATCAGCCTAGATATTTTCAAGCGATATTTGTATTGCCAACTAACACACACGCAATTTATTTCCAGATGACAGGATTATTATTTGAAGAAAACGGCTTGTTCAAATGCAATTATCTTTTTATTCTGTAGTTATATTTTCCACTTCAGTGTATAATCTAGTAACGAAGACACACGAGAGTTTTATAGCCCTGCTACTTTTATTACATATGTAATTCTAAGAATTTATGAGTGGAAATAAAGAATAGAACATTACAATATGTTAGCCATATCCAGTACTGATGGGGCCTTTCGCCCAGTATTGTAGCTCATCAGGTCTGCTGGGTGACGACAGATATAGCAGTGGTCTAGGCGCTATTATATTGTTACGACAGCGGAGGTCACGTGACCCTAGTAACACGTCATATTCTCGAAGGTTCGTGAATGCTCGAGCGTTTACTAGATTTCGGTATTCTTGTACATATAAGACGGTCAAGACGTGACGGCAACAATGGGTAATTGAACTGCGGACAGAGAGAGAGACGTACTATTGAGCGAGCACGTGAGACGTTCGTTGTGAATTATAGCGTTTGTTATAGCGCGACTGTGGAAATTAAGTGTATTGCAAAGTTGTATTCAGAAAGAATAAACCAGTTTTATTTAAGAAAGGACTTGTATCGCCAAAGCTTCTTCGGAAATAATTTTTACGGTAAATTAACTAACGAACGGAGGCGTAACAATATCATTATCTTTAGTGAACGTGAACGGTGACTGTTATGGTATAAACTAGATTAAGTAAGTGAATTGTAATTATTACTAGTTTTGTTTAAGTCATTTGCAAATCAAGAGTTTAGAGTATAGATTAATAGCACTATATTATTTATTTGAATTTATTATCGTTAACATCGTAAGAGGTTTCCTGTCCGTTTACAGTCAAATTTAGTATTATAATTAAAATATAAGTTTTTTGCGTTTCTCTCTTGCCTTGGTTTTAACCATAAAACAACAACAACAACATTAAAAACACCAACAAATATTTTAATGGTACACATGTGAGAATGTTAAGATAAAAAATGTGTGTTTAATGGCTTAGGACTTTGGGAATTTGTTTTTAGGTTGCAGTGGATGTTGCTCAGCGCTACGTCCTCGCTACAAACGTCTGGTGGATAGCATCTTTCCAACAAATCCTCAAGTAAGTGTGATATGTGTTGTGTTTAGGTAATCAAAATATGAACTATGACATGATTTATTTCAGAGCAATGTCTCTCAGCCGGATTTGCCAGATGATTGTTCGTTTGAAGTTAAGCACAAAGATACACAATGGGATATCTGTGCTCTGCCCATCACGGGTATCGAAACCTGGTTTCTAGCGTTATAAGTCCACAGACATACCGCTGTGCCACTGCGGGCATTTCCGGATGACTGCAGCGTCCAGACTTTGGTCGTTGCGATTCCCATTATCTCTACAAGGATGAAAAATTTGAATAAAATGTTGACTCAGCGCAGACAGATCGCGACCCCCTTGTGGGTCGTGACCCACCATTTGAGAAACTGATTCAGAGTCTCCAAAAGTCAGGTTTATTTTTTATTACAAAATATGTCTAAGGAATTTTGTCAAAAGGGATCAGTGTCAATGTTGCATACAATATAAAGGCTTAATTGCTCTTCTGCGATGCCACAAATGTTTAAATAATTTGTTTATTTGTTATTTAGAGGTGGTCTAAAAATAAAAAACTGTTTATTTGCATTTTTTATTAGACTGAATATTTATTTTAGAAATAACAAAGTATGTTAAACCTTACTGCAATTTGCAACACTGAAACATAAATGAGTAAATGAAGTATTTAGCAATATTAGTTGGGTATATATATATTAGCTGACCAGATATTTTGTGAAGCAAGCCATTGGGCATAGTTCTTGAGACATTTTTATGTTATCTCTGATATAATTGGTAGTTTCATATGGATATTATATGACAATGCTCTGTTAGCTCTGTATTATGATAACATAACATAATGTTTCGGGACATCATGGAACCTAGTGGTCCATCTTCTAAACTAAATTAAAATAATTTAAAAAATCATAAAGCTAGCCCTTATCAAGCTTTTTCTTAAACTCACTTAAATTTACTGCATCTACAACATCCAAAGGCAACCCATTCACAAGGCCAACCACCTTGTTAGAAAAATGAAACTGGTATAGCTGAAGATGACTCCTACCTTTACAAAATTTATATTTGTGTTCCCTAGTCTGACTATTCCCACCATTAAATATGAAAAAAGATTATGCATCAACACTATCAATTTCCATTACAATCTTAAACACCTCAATTAGCCCCCCCCCCCCCCAACTGAGCACAATATTCCAAGTTGTATGAGTAAAGCCAGTAATATCTTAGGTAACAGTGTCAGTGAATTTGTTTGGGTCACCTGTGTGACATAAGGAATGAAATGTAAATTGAAGATCTATTAATTGAACACTAGCACCATTTCCTGCTTTTCTTAGTCTTGGAGACCAATGGAGCAGATGTGGGGCCTGAAATGTGGGGTCCAAAAATGTATACAATTATATTGGGACACAACAAGGAATATTGATTTTTTTCAATAAAACACACTGCATTTGAGATTTCAGCACTACAAAAAAATTTAAGTGAGAATGGGAAGAAAAGAGGTGTTTGGATGAAACTGTTCTGGTGTATTTTAAAGTACTTTACATATGTGTTGTTTTGCATACATTCAAATGGTCAGTTTTACTGTTTAAAACAACATGTATATTGCTACTTCCACAATCACTTTCGAATGTATTAACAATTTATTTATTTCAGGATGGCCTGGTACGTAACAACATGGAAAAACTCACTTTTTATTCCCTTTCATCTCCTGAGAAGCTTGATAGAATTGGAGAGTACCTTGCTCAAAGAGTGGCCAGAGATATTACAAGGCACAGAAATGGGTATAAACACCAAAAAAAAAAAAAAAAACTCAATTCTTGCATGTTGTTTATTCTAATTTACTCATTTATATAATTTCACATTCTCTTTCTTCATTGATAATCTAAATTCTTATTTCCTATTAATCTCATATCTGTATAACTTGCTTCCAATTTAAACATGCAGTAGGTTACTAGATCATGATAATAATTTTTAACTGTGTTTACAGTTAATGATGACTGTAAAGAAATCTCTCTCTGTTGTAGTTACTGGGTGTGATGTGAATGTAAACTTGATTGTGTATTGTGAAATGATTCTTGGGTTTTGTGAAAGCATTTAAAGTATTGCCCAGCAAATGAATTTATTTATTTGGATTTTATATTTAATATTTTTTTTACTGGGAGTGGTCATTAAGAGGTTAGTACAGTTGCTCATTAAGAAACAAATAAAACCCTAAATAAACTTTGCAGGAGAGAGTAGAATTTGTTTCAGTATCTTCTTGTCTAAGATTTTTCTTAGGGTAAAAAAGTAAAAGAAGAAAGTTAGTAACTAAAGTTCTCTGTCTGGTATGGAAAAGTTAATTGATCATGATCAGTTGATGTATATTTATGTGAATGTGCATTTTAAATAATCCTTTGGTAAAAAGTGTATTTATTGCTAACATTAAGTAATGTGGAATGATGCACAAGAGAGCATAATAATGTATACAGAAAATGGTTCAAAATTAGAACTAATTTTTATATAGATATGATCTTGCTAACTTTGGCTATCATAGGTTCTTATTCCACAGTCATTGAATCAGTTTCTTCATATATCTAGAAATGTTATCATTGCCATGGAAGCTATGGATCAGCTCCTTGTTGCCTGTCATGCTCAGAGCCTCAACTTATTTGTGGAGAGTTTTCTCAAGATGGTACACAGGCTATTGGAATGTCATGAACCAGACATGCAGCTTCTTGCTACATCATCTGTGAGTTTTTTGCTGTGTGTGATCTGGTTAGTAGTAGTAGTAGTAGTATGGATGTTACAATACCAGACTATGAAGATGATAGTGTTAATATGGATATCAAAATGATAAGTACATGTTAAGATACTGGGACATAGATTTGGTATCATTACGTTACCAATAGGGTAGTTGTTACAACATTTGCTTATAAAGCTGATATTAATATCCACATTTCCAGTAGAATTGGTGCTATGACAATAAACCAGTATTTTCTAGAAATTTAACTAAATTTAGCCATCAGATGCTAATAAGAGTTACCTTTAAAAGCATGTAATAATGTTAAAAGTAGAAATAAGATAAAATTAAGCCACCAAAAATATGTAATTAATAAGTAATGTATTTAAAGTCATTGCAAAAGTACTGTACTATAAAATTGATTGGAATAATAAAAAAAAAAGTATAAAAGTCCAACTTTAATTAACTTATTAGACATGTATGAATAATACTGTAATGTGTTCTTTCATGGGATTAGTTTTTTTAGGTTACTTGATGAAAATAATGCAAATATCAATTTCTTATAACAGTAACAAATTAGTTTATTCCTTTTATAATATTGTCACAGGCTATGTTCATTTTGAAATAAGCAGTAGACTTAAGGGCACAAACATCATTTTGACACTAATTCCATAATCAAATGTAGGCCTAACATCAAATGCAACATTCCAGTATAAATTGTGTGACGTATGCCTAACTTAACTAGTTTAGCTTGATAAAAAAAAAAAAAAATAAAAAAAAAGGGTTAACTCATCAAGTAACTGAATAACAAAACAGACGTGATAATTTCCCATTAAATACCTTTTAATTTTTAATGGCACTGAACAAATTAAACTCATATTTATAACTAATGTACCCATCTATATGTTTGTCAAATTTACTAAATCTTAACCAAAAGCACCCTCTAGTTAACACATGCATTAAAACATTCAAACTAAAGTTTATGACACAGACTCCTTCCTTGATTTTAAAGTCACTTGAACAATCATAATACTGTTGCATCAGCGAGTCACATGACTACTGTGACACCACTTTCTAGAACTATCCTGTACTTTGGCGAATGCTCTAGTATTTACTAGATAGGGTAGGCTGGTATATATAAGAAGGGGACAACGTGACGCGGTAATGTAATGTGTGTGTAGATAGTGAGTAATTGAACTGCAGTCAAAAGTATTATTGACGTTCGTTGTTATAGCGTTTGTTTAGCGCGATTGTTGAAGTTGAGTGTATCGGTAAAGTTATATTCGGAAAGAATAAACCAGTTTTATTAAGTAAAGACTTGTGTCGTTAAAATTTCGTCGGAACGAAGTTACGGAAAAATCAATTAACAAATGGAGACGTAACAATACAAAAAATCATAAAACATTTCATTTCAATTCACCAAGTTTGTTATGACGTAGAGATGGAATGACCTCTTATTCCTTGTTGTCACTTACTGTTATGTTACTTGTAGAATTCTCCATGGACAGGTGGTTGATCAAATCTACTGGTGGCTCTGTCTTTGCTGATCCTTTTAAAGTGGTCTTGATTGGAATCCTGGGCTCATTAGCAGGTTGACTTTCTACTGACAAATTCTTCTCTGAAGTTATCCAGTTGGCTGTTCTCTTACCAACATAGTATCAAAACAACCACAATGATTGATCTGTGGCTTGGATCACTTATCCTTCTGGATTTTGTAATTCACATCATTGATTCTTTTAACTACGATGTATGGCTCTTTCAAACACCTACTTAAATTTGAAATTTGCCCTTTCTTACAGTGAGAAATGTTTGGTCATATCATGTCACGTCAATGAAATCCAGCTTTATCACCCTTAACATCATATTCACTTTTCATTTTGTCATAAACTGCTTTAGGTCTTTCCTTGGTAAATATGTGTATGACATCTTTACTTTACACTTCCACCTTGCTCTTCCAACCATCAATTTCTAAATACATGCTGGAGTACTTAGTTCCACTAGATTTCAGTCGTTAGATGAAGAAATATTGCTGTTGGTATGAGTATTTCTCTTCTTGGTGGTACAATGATTGCTCTCCTATGTTGTCTCTAGAACTTCAACCTCTGGTGTAGTAATTGCTATGTAATTCAAAAGGATTTTGTGGTCATATACTGTGTATCTGTTGGCAGTTAAACTATCCTGTCATCCATATCTCCATATTAAGTCAGTTACCAATATGCACTTTTCTTTGATGTCAGTTGTCTACATGCTGTGATGTAGAGAAACATCAAAGTCCCATTTTGCTGAAATTTTGTCTGCCAACTGTTTGCATCAATCCCTCTTTTTTTTTTTGTCCATCTATGGAGGTAGTTTCCTACCTTGCATTAACAAATGGGGACAAACAGTTGTAGGTGCAGAACCAGTGTAAATCAATGTACTGCAAGGTTTTCCACCAACAAACCCATGGATGATTTCCCTCAAATAACAAACTTCTTATTTCATTTGGGGTTGATAGAGTTTTCCCAGCTGAACTTCTCCCCATAAATCCAGCTACATCCTGTCTTTTGATGTCATGTTAGCTCTTGTTATTCCTTTGATGTAGTTAGGTTTTGTCTACTTGGCTTAATAACAATTGTTCATTCCTTATAGTCTCAGCTGTAATGGCCATATTTCCCACACTTGTAACAGTTTCCGCTTTCTATTATCCTTTAGAAGAAGTTCTTATTCCATACAGGCTTTATTATACAGCTCTTCACAAACACCTATTTTCTTGTGGTTTTATTTCCTCCATTGTGTATAACTAGCTGTCTGATTAATCCTCACAATTCTTCTATACTCATTTTAGGGAGGGAGTTGATAATTTTTTCAATACTACAGGATCTGATTATCCAGTAATTTTGAGGTGGTCTCTTTAGTTGTTTATCTGTGACTTTAGTAAACTGTAGTTCTATAACCAACTGCAGAGCTTTCTACTTTTGCTTCAATTTAATCTTCATATTCTCATCTTTTATGCCACCCTTAAGTTGGTCACTGTCGGGTTTTAGTATATGGACTGCAGATTATTTTACAGTAGATGTCTGTGATTTGTTAGCGATAAGTTTGAACAATAAATGTACAGCACACAATTCACTTGTTTTTAGATAATATACACTCAAAACAGGTCAAACGTATGTACAAAAATTCTTTACATGATAGGATTTCCCAGTTGTATCTAAAACTATAAATAATTCTCTTTTTTCTTCTATTGTCACAATATAATTAGTGATAAGTTCACTTACATTACCCCATGGATTACCACAATTTTATACAGAGCTTTAAGTGATTCTTTTTTATGTCAAACATCCACATAGATTAGTTTAGTTACTTTAGAACCCAATTGACAAGACAAATTATTTTTTCTGTACTCTATTTCTTATTGCACAGTCTGTGATAGATGGGTTACCACAGTTTTATTCAGAATTTTAAATAATTCTCTTTTTCGTCAAAGTTCACCCAGGCAGGTTCAATTACTTTGACAAGATAAATTATTCTCCTTATCTCTGTTAAACTCACTTTAAAATATCACTCATTATGGCTAAATTAACAATCACAAAGTCTAACTTTACTTTCATTAACATCTTCTAACTTGATGGTTACCACAGTTGTATCCAGAGCTTTAAATAATTGTCTCTATTTTTCGTCAAAGGTCCACACAAGCTGGTTCAGTTACTTTAGAACCCAAATTGACATGACAAATTATTTTTCTATGTCTGTTGTTACAATACAACTGTGAAACACACTCTAGAAATCAGCCATTGAGGCTAATCACTCGAATGCCAGCTAACTTCACATTTTCTTTCACTAACTAACTTTTTCTTCACTTCACTTTTTCTGACTTCTTCTTTACTAACTTTCTGAGAAATCGCCCATCACAGCTAAACTACCAATAATCCAGTCTAAATCTACCTAATTATATCTCGGTTAACTTGCTTTCTTGACTTTTTTTTTCTGTATCTGCACGTGTTATATAACGTGCAACAGAAAAATCTAGAAATATCTAGCCCTCTAGTAGCAACAATATTACACATAGCGAGATAAACTTGGAAGCTTTGGGTAAGATGACTTCAACAATATTGCTAAAGCCTAGTACAACAATTAAACTGCATACATAACATATGACTCTTACTGATTTGCATAACGAAATCTGTCATAACTATTGCTTTCAAAATAATCAAATTTTAACACTCTTGTTATAAAACTTAATATTTATTAAATATAACATTACTAAATGAACTAAATAATAATTCTTACACTAAACAGTCTTGTATATCTGACAATAAGCCTCCCTTCATGAAAATATTTACAATTTTTTTATACTATATACAAAGATTGTTCTTAGTTCATACACTAAGTCTCTTCATATAGTCTGCACCAACATTTGCAGTTCTCTTGTCAGTCTCTCTTTGCATAGGACCTTCAGTAAGGATTCATATTGACAGGATCCCTTGTTTTCATCTTGATCTTGTGTTGCCTGAGGTCTGTCTTTCTGTATATGGCACAGTATATCTCGTAGTTCTTTCTTCTGCTTGCCAGTCAGTTCCTCACTAATGTTAACATCTTTGTATATCTCCTCTCCACCCAGTGGTCTTGGGTCTAGTAGGTCTTCATCTTCTAAGACAAAGTCACTGTTTTCTGGTTCTGCATCTATGACAGCCACTGCCATGTCGATCTGTACCTCAATAGCTGCACCTGTAAGGTCTTCTTCCCTCTCTCTAAGTACATCTTCACCAGATTGACATGGTAGATCTTGGTTGTCCCATCCACTTTGACCTTATAGTGCAATTTGTTGACCACTTCCTGTACTGCAGAAGATCCTTTCTACTGCTAGGTGATTTTTTTTTTGGCTGTGGGTAGCAGAACAAAGACCTTCTGTCCAATTTCATTGTTGATCCTTGACCTTCTTGTTGTATAAGTACTTCTTACTGCTTTTGATGTGTTTAACTTCACCAGTAGAACTACTTTGATAGGTCCAGTTCAGTATTCCTTTCCAGTCCTCCATTTTGTAAATCTCTTTCCATTTTGTAATGTACTCGACTTTCTCTCGGGCATTATCCTGAAGTTTCTGCAGTGAAGTGTCTTTCTTATGCACTTCCTTCAGCTTCTGTGAACTTACATTTAAGATGTCACTTTTTGAGACTTTAAGAGGCTTGATATTGTTACGTCTCCGTTTGTTAATTGATTTTTCCGTAACTTCGTTCCGACGAAACTTTAACGACACAAGTCTTTACTTAATAAAACTGGTTTATTCTTTCCGAATATAACTTTACGATACACTTAATTTCAATATTCGCGCTAAAACAAACACTATAACGAACGAACGTTAACTTCAACAATACCCTGTGACTGCAGTTCAATTACTCACTATCTACACACACATTATATTATTTCCCCCGTCACGTTGTCACCCTCTTTTATATACCAGACTATCCTATATCTAGTAATTGGTAGAGCATTCGCCAAGGTACAGGATAGTTCTAGAAAATAGGTGGCGCCACACCAGTCACGTGACCTCGATGACGCAACAATATCTTGCTTGCTCTTCTTCCCTTGAGCTCTTGTGGTAACTGCAGATGCTTCATCAGTTTTCTTTCTGTCTAGTTCCTCCATAAACATGGCCTCAAGATCTCCCATATAGTATATATATTTTTGTTATGGGAAACGTTCTCACTGTCCCATCAATTAGCACACACAGGTGTACCTTGCCTGTTATCTGGCCATTGGATACTAGACTGGTTCTCACTGTTGCACTACTGCACCCAGTTTCTCATAGGACCTTCACTTTCTTGTCCCCAACATAGCCTTCATCTACTGACATGTTGTGACTCGTTGTCACCTCTTGATATTTGTGAGATGCTCCGATCACAACTGGTACTGTTGATCCCATTGTTAACTTGAGCTGACCATCAGTTGTGCACTGATTAGTCATGGGAATAGCACTTTCTTCTTGTGGTGAATCTGATGAGTTGTTTCCATTCTGTTTCTTTTAGCAGCAGCATCCATGGTGACATTCACTCTTTTCTTGTTTCTTACCAGCATTATCTTTGTAGGCAGCTCCAGCTGTTTTATGTTGAGATTTCTGATGTTGCTTGTTGGTGATGGACTTGCATTTTTTGCAATGCCCCACCTTATAACAAACATAGCATCTCTTTACTTTCTGCAGTTGCTTGTTGGTGACAGACTTGCAATGTGCCCCATTTTATAACAAATATAATTTTTTTCCCTCTTTTGTCCATTTAGTTCTTGTCACCTTTGGAGGCATCCTCTTCTGGTCAACCACCACTGGTTTCGACTTTAACTAGATATTCTTGGACTTGCCAGTTATACTCTCTCTCCATGGGCTTCCATATCCTGTTCTGCTAGCTTGATCATTTTGTCCACACCTTTTGGTGCTCTTTCCTGTAGGAACAGTGACATGTCAGTTGAGCACGTGATTATGAACTGTTCACGTATTATTAGATTTGCCAGTCTCTCAAAACTATTTTCACACTTGGCCATGTCAAGCCACCTTGTGAAGTATTGCTGTAGATGTGCCACAAACTGAAATATAGTTTCTCCAGTGTCAGGTTTGACTTCTCTGAGCTTTGAATGAAAACCTTCCTCAGTAAACTCATAGCGTTTCAGAAAGGGTACTGTTGCGTCATCGAGTCACATGACTACTGTGACGCAACGTTTCTAGAACTATCATGTACATTGGCGAATGCTCTAGTGTTTGCTAGATGGGGTAGGCGGGTATATATAAGAGGAGAAAACGTGACGCGGGAGATGATTGTAATGTGTGTGTGTAGATAGTGAGTAATTGAACTGCAGTCAGAAGTATTATTGACGTTCGTTGATATAGCGTTGTTTAGCGCGATTGTTGAAGTTGTATTCGGAAAGAATAAACCAGTTTTTATTAAGAAAGAACTTAATCAATTAACGAAATTAAAGAAAATCAATTAACAAACGGAGACGTAACAGTACTTTTAACTTGTCAATGGCATCTTCTGATGTCATGCCTGCATAGACTTGTTATCACAGTTGTATCCTGAACTTTAAATAATTGTCTCCTTTTCATCAAAGTCCACACAGGTGGGTTCAATTACTTTAGGACACCCTTTGACAAGACAAATTATTCCACTTATTTCTGTTAAACTGGGAAACTCACTTTAAGATATCACCTGTTAAGGCTAATCACTTGCATGCCTGCTAACTTTCACATTTTCTTTTATTAACTGATTTCTTTTTCTTGACTGCACTCACTTGGTCACCTATATTTATACACTTTCCAACTGAGGCCTAGAACTTTCTACAAACTAGGAGGCTCTATGACGTAATAATACTCGCATAGCAAGAAAAACTGAGAGGTTTCAAGAAAGATGACGTCAATAATACTACAACAATGGAACTACATCCACAAAGTAGACTCTCACTGAGCTTTGTAATGAATTTTGTCATAACTATCACTTTTAAAATTAATTAACTTTTAACACTCTTATCATGAAAACTGAATAATCACTAGATATTAAATTACTTAGTAATAACTATTAAGCTAAACAGTCTTGTATATCCAACACCAATGAATCCAACATTTTACGTGGAGCTTCCAAGTAAGATAATTGGGCAAGCCTTTCTAAATCTTCTGCAAAAACTTGATTAAGTTCTTTTCTTTCCACCACACCCCTTTGGACACTTCCTACTAGTGTGTCACTCCAAACCTTTTCGATAGGGCAGATACCAATGCTTGATAATTGTCAGGGCTCTCATCTTTTTTGTTTACTGTTCCACCTGTTCACTTTGATAGTTATTTCAAACTGAGCCTGATATGCTTCTTATGGTACTTTTCTATCATAGTCTTTTGGTTTCTCAATCAAGTAAAGTTGTTCAATTGGCCATCTAAATTCTGGGTTTGGTAGGGACATGGCTGAAGTGGGCCAAAAAAAGTTCTACAATAACAGATGACACAGCAGTAGTGGTAATAAATGTAGACCAAGTAAGTTTGGAATTCTTAGGCAGATGAAAAAAAAAGTGTGGCTGATTTTATCTTTGCCTTTACCAATTCATTTTATTAAATGTTTTATTCTGTCACTGATGTTGTTCTTTTCTACCACAGTGATCTCTTTTTAATACTAGAAATAAATGACCTTATAACACCAAAATTATTAAGTGTTATTTAAATAAAAACAACATATTGGTGTAAAAAAAGTCATTTATTTTTGGTATTAATATTCTTTTATACACCAATTAAAGACATTAATTAATGTGATCTTTTTTTTGTATGCCTTCAATTTTGTCATTATAGCCTTTAATTAATTCTTATTGTTGTAATCCCACTGTACATCTCTAATAGCTTCATTGATCTTGTCTTCAATCACTTTTTGTTTTTTAATTTTTCTTTAAATATTACATATCTGTCTTATAACTCCTCTCTTAAATCCCTTGATCTTGTTCTATTTATCTGTTTGGTTCTTCTTGTTCTTCCTTTCATTTTCCATCTCTTTCTTCTTGATTTTCTTTTAATTGTTCCATCATTTCCAGTAACAATTAGATATAATTCCATAACTGTGTTGTCATGTTGAAATTTAGTCAAAGTTCTATCTAAGTTTCACCAGAATAATTGTACTTCTGACAAAAGTGTAGTAACATGTTCTTTCATTAGGCAAGTTCTTTTAGATTACTTGATGAAAATATTGTGAAGCCCAGTCGTGTAACAGTAAGAAATTAGTTTATTCTTTTTATAACATTTCTGACATTTGTTTTGACACAAGTAGTAGGTTTAAGAGCACAAATAAAGTTTTAACATTAACTCCACAAATAAATGTAGTGCTAATCTCATATAAATTGGCAGACATATGCTTAACTTAACTAACTTAGCTTGATGAACAAATGCATAACACAACAAGAACACGCAATAATTGTGCATTAAATACGTAAATGGCACTGAATGAACTGAACTTGTATTTATAACTAATGTACTTGTTTAGATCTTGATTAATTTACTAGACCTTAAACTAATACATCCTCTAGCTAGCATCCAAAATAAAACATTGAAAATATAGCTTACAACATCATTTAAACATCTAAGCACTTTCAGTTTGAGTTTTCAATCATTTAAACCTTTTAACTTTCCTAATGTTAGGGTTCTAAATAAGAATAATAAAATATATCTTAATGATAAGAAAAAATTTGTAATATTTTAAACCAAAAAAGGAATTGGCTACTTTCAGTCAATACTGACATTTACCAAAGCATTGTAATAGCCCTTGTTGCTTGTACTGTCTTTCTTAAGCTTATAGGATATAACTTGATATAAAATAGTATTCTGTATTCTTCTATTGTATGTTTTTAATTGTTTTTATTTGCAGTTTGTAAAGTTTGCAAATATAGAGGAGGATACACCATCATATCATCGACGCTATGACTTCTTTGTGTCTAAGTTCTCATCTCTTTGTCACAACAACCACAATGATCCAGACATCAGAAATAGGTCAGAACATTTTTTTTTTCAGACAGGTTCATTGAATTAAGGTGACATAGTTGAAAAAATAATTTCTTAATTCAGTCTTAAATTATAAGCAAACTAGTGGTATGGTAATATACAATAAATATTATTACAATAATGCAATTTTTTACATAAGTAATACTTTAAAGACATGCTCAGTTAGTTATGAAACAAGTTATATTTATATACTATTACCATTGTCTTATCTTTTTATTTTTGTAGTGAACTTTTCATCCTGAAGGACTGGTATTATGTCATCTGTTCAAGTACCTCTTTATTTTTGACTCTAATTAACATTTTATTCACAAAGACTGGCATTGTGTTGTCTGTTTAAAATATTCCTCATTTTCATTCTAGTTAACATTTTGTCCACAAGGGGTAGCGTTGTGTCAACTGCTTACAATATTTTCTGATTTTTATTCTAATATTTCTTTGGCCATAAAAATTGACATTTTTAATTCATTTTTTTTGTTTTTAATTAAACTGGTGTTTAAAAGAACAAAAACTGTAAAGCTGGGATAGGTATTATTACTAAGGTTTTTAAAGACTGACATTTATTTTATATGTTTCAGGTTACGTTTTGCTGGACTTAAGGGATTAAAGGGTGTTGTTAGAAAAACTGTTAATGATGACCTTCAGGTCAACATCTGGGATGAAATCCACATGGAAAAGATAATTCCTTCTCTGTTATTTAACATGCAAGAAAATCAGTGAGTTTTGAAATATACGTATGGTTTATTGTTATTAAATACTTTTCTTTTTGATTTTGTGTGAAGTTTTAGATTAGTATGGCACATGTGCTATCTACTGATGTTCAATAGTATTATACTTCTGCTTCTATAAACTTTTAAAATGTTTTGGCTTGTCTTTAGGTTTAAAGTTAGATGAAAATAATTCCTAATTTAATCAGAATTTGTAGTGAAAAGTTTAGTGAACCTTGTCTAGTATTTCTAAAAAATGCTTAGTTTTGAAAAGGTATTATTAATTTTTGCTTCATAATTTCTTTTTAAGTTGGATATTCATTCTTGATAGATACTACTACAATAAAATATAAAGTTTACAGTGCCTTTGTATGTGTGAATGTTTGTATATACTGGTTGTAGAATAACTAAATTTACAATTGAGAAATATACAATTATGAAACATGATATTGGTTCATAATAGGGATTGCCAGGGATTTCACAAAAATTCTAGTAGAACATATGGGCAAAAACCATCTTAAAAAAGGAGACTTGTTCTTGAAACAACACTCAAGACTTTTTATCTCAATGGCTGATGTTGATAAAATATTGATAATAGCAAAAAAATGGATTTTATGGTTGTTACACAAAATTCAAAATTTATCCATTTGTTCTTCATATTGTTTTTGTTTCAAAAGCCTACACAAAAAATGGTTAGGAATATTTTATTCAACTCTGGACAAACCTACTAAAAAAATTCCTGCACTGGTCATAGAACAATTTTTTTTTGTTCATTCTTGTTCATTCATCACTTCTGGCCAAATTTCTCTTCAAAGCCATACAAGCACTGAAGCCTACAGCAATAATTACTAGGTATACTTTGCTAAAATCAATGCATGGCTAATAAACAAACTCTTGCAAAGGTTGTAGGGCTATTTTTAAGTTCATTCTTGAAATTCGATTTCAACCCTCTAAAATTTTGTAAGTTCTACTTCAATATCAACATAAGCTCTTTGAAGGCATTCAAGCATTGCAGAAATGTAGAAGCCATTTAAGTACTGTTATCCTAGTTGGAAATGCTTTATTTCGTTAGAGTAAACAGTGTGTATATTCATAACAATGTCTCCAGTCTTATTATTATTGATTATAGCTTTACAAGCCACTACAGAAAAAAATGGCTACAAATATTTAACTGAAACCTGGACAATTGTAATGAATGCAGTATTGAATATTTCATAGGTAGTTTTAAACGTAATTCAAGCTCCTTCGTTTTTTGCCCTAAAAAATTTCTCTCAAGTCCTTTACTTTCTGCCATTGAAAAAAATGTGGTGTTTACTAATGAGCATTAATTGGAAAATAATTTGTGAAACTTAGAGCGCATTATTTGGATCTGCTACATTGAAGATTCTACTGATTTTTGTGCTTCACTGAAATTGTGAGTGTGTATTTTAGTATTATTTTATTATTATTATTCATATTTTTGTTTCTGAAGCCTACAGCAAAATCAGCTGGTTATTTGGCACCAAAACCTAGACAAATATACTATATGAAACGCTGCAAGTGTTCATGACCTATTTAAATAGTTGATTATTTTTCCTTGAAAGTTGATATTTGTGATATTGTTGTGAGTGGCTTCCTTTGTACCGGATGTTTGTTTAAACACGTGCTTACATGAAACCTCAGGCACAAAACCATCTAGCTCAGTACATAATGGTTGAGTGGAAGAAAAGCCAGTGTAGCAATAAACTGTTGAAAAACATGTAACATTCAATTGAATGCATATGCACATATGTAGCATAAATGTACATAAAAAAACTTAAACAAGATAATTAAAAATTGTTAGTTTAAAAAGGGGCATAGGGATCGTCAAAAAAGAGCAGAAACAAGTTGAATCAAAATGCAAAGATTATATTTTAAAGCTAACAAGTAGGCTTGAAAATATAATCTTTGCAT